ATGCTAAATAGATAGATAGCTATAATTAGCTCACAGTACCGGTAGTTTTTATTTCCCAAACAGGTTTGACATATTTTTACAAATGTCCAATCACATGTATGCAAGATTCAAATTCTGAACCTATTCAAGTGTGGAAGTGGGATTTGCAATTGATATGATCAGAGGCTTTCCATTCTCACCTCTTGTTTCTTTTACCTTGCAAAGAACCAGGGTACACTTGAAAGTAACACACAGGCAGACCAAGTGCTGCAATTCAACTAAGGGCCTGTTTATATGCAGGAAGCCGGGCTGGCCTGCTTAGCGAGACAGGCAGGTGGGATGAATTTCTCTTGTGTTTATATGAGAAAATTTCATCCCGCTTGCTGGTTTTGACAGTTGTTAAAAATAGCTTGCGGCGGTATCTTTTATCCCAGCAACTGGGCTAGCCCGCTTGCGAGTGTTTATATGGAGAAATTTCCACCCCGGTAAGCGAGATCTCACCTCTTTTCAAGTGAGATCTCACCTCTTTTCAAGTGAGATCTCGGCAACCTGGCCAGCCCACTTGCCCATATAAACGCACAATAATTTTTACTATAAAAATAACTACACAGCGAGATCTCGCTTACCGGGCTGTCTCACTTAGCGGGCCAGCCCGGCTTCCATATAAACAGGACCTAAGTACCAGTCAATATAAGTCCCCGCTTGCTTGAATCTAGAAAGTGTGGGGTTCATGGGGCAAAGCAGGGCCACTGAGACAAAGCCAGACATTTATACAATCCAGCAATTTTGATTATGCAGTGCTGGGAAATAAAAACTGCCTACTTCTGGGTTGGGGGAAGTGGTAATTTACATTGTCTGGTATTGTACACTGAATAGTTATGGGGTCCCATGGCTGCCAGTTCTGTTGTCTTTAAAACGACTGCTAATTCTAAACTGCAGTGATTCAAAACATTCTCCAAACATGTTCTGGAGATTATGAGTAATATTTTAACTTTGGCACACACTCATATTTTGGAACAATCACCAAGGACGCTGACTATAAATGTATCAAGATCTGTAAATATAAAATATAAATCTTACCTGCGATTTGCCTGCCTGCGAAAAGGTTAATCCACTTGGAACGTTTTCCGTGGTTGTGGACCTACGTTCCACATCGAATGCATCCTGCCCAACATCAGCGATTGCCCAGTTTGTGAAGCAACAACGTTGGCAAATGTTGAAGCTCTTGGAAGGTCTTCGAAAGACAGCAAATATTAACGCTGATTGCCCCGGCGACTTGCTTTGAAGAGGACGAAAGCGACCAAGAAAGTGAGGCAGCCGATGACGATTGACGACGAACCAGAAGACGAACAGAACGAAACCCTCGTGAACAGTTTATTAGCAAAAATATTAAGCCCTTCGCGAAGGTCAGTCAGACAATCGCCATTTTGCCAACCGGATATGTACTTTTAATGTACAGTAATGAGTCATGCGATATTGTACCTGTCAGTCCTGGATCGTTGTGACGCATTTCCGATGCGAAATGAGATCGATGAGATCAGATAGGTAATATTTAAAAACATGTCAGCTGTGGTGTGAGGAAAATAAGTTTAAACTGCCAAATCTACCATTTTTTTATGTGTGTGTAAAGATAGTGCAAGTGAGAGTCTGCTATTTTACGCGCGTCGAAACACTGTTATTCAAACATAAATATTTCGTGTTCTAGATCGAATTTAAAAAATACCCCCGAGGAAATTAAAGAAGAAAGCATGCTTTATCAGAATTTGTCAGTTTTGGCGAAAAAAGTTTAATATCGAATGTCACCGAGGGCGTAGAACAAGGTGTTATTTTCTCCCTCCTTTTGTTTACATGTTTCGAATTTCAGGCATTCTGATTGGTCAAGAACGCAAAATGTAAACAAACGCGCTGATTGGCTAACATTATTTGCCCTTGTTGTACACGTCTACAAATAATGTGACTGTACCTTTCTCTGAATCCACTATTATGCGACTCTGTTTTACTTCGACGACGGACGGTAGGAGGTGAGTTACTGCCTTCGCTATATGTCCGTCTGATGGTTTTCTCACTAGATTTAAGATCATGAAACATTTCCTGGCCAACCGGCGAGACAGGGGAAGATGCGAGGGGCGAAGGTGAGTTACATATTCTGGAATAACGAGGTGAGCAGGTCGAGAAACTACTGAAGTCTAACGCTGCTTGGTCTTCATCATCATCACTTTCAAGAGAATGATTGTAACGATCTGTCCGAGCTGAAAGAAATAGAGAGCAAGGATTAGGTACACTTCAACTCGATTTCGTTGGAAATATGCGTACAAACTTACATACATTATTAAAGACCTTTGGATTGATGTTTACGGCAAACGCCAAACTGCTAGCGAAGTGTTTGATATTACAACTCTATTATAACAGCTTTTACACCTGTTTCGAAATATATTAAACAATTACTAAACTTGTGCTCTTTAGCAATGGTTTAAGAAAGCAAATTAACCACTAGTCACGTATTCACCAAAGCAGTAAATTAAGATCTGGCGTCTGAAGTTGACGTTTGGCGTATAAATTTTATGCTTGAACTGCTACGAGGGCTTGTATAGTCGTTAAAGCGTGAAATTTATGCGCCAAACGTAAACTTCAAATGCTAAATTTTAATTTACTGCTTTGAATATCACAAGACTTAGTATATTTCAAAACTGGTCTAAAAGCTGTTATAATAGAGTTGTAAAATAAAAAACATCGTTATGGGGGTATGACGTTTGCCACAAACGTCAATCTAAAGTTCTCTAATGCCAGAAATTATGCTGTATTGATCACGAGGTCGGCAAACAGTAGCCAAGCTCTCAGATTGCAATAATTTCGAGTTAAATATTTTCACCCTGTATATTCCCAATAAAAACTGAACCATTATATACTGTATGAATTATATGCAAATTAGTATACAAATAGTGGCCATTTTGTCGCTAATTTGTGGTAATGAATAAAGGTTACAATCTGTCAGTTCGACTGTTTAAAATCATCCAAATTAGAGATAATACTAGAGTAAGCAAACGACATTTTTGTCAACACAGACGTCACGCGTACATAACTGAACCGCTAATTATAACGTCAGCAGTTATTGCTAGGTTTTGAAAAACAATGGTTGCTATCAAATTATTCTCCCTAGTGGGCAACTTCTCATGGATGCACTCTTATCTCATGCGACTGAGGCGAAATAATAATTTGACAACTGCACAATACACAAATCGAACTCCAGTCAGAGGAGAAGGGCACATACACACTAACCCCCTTGTACCGCCAACACCCCACAATACTGTTTAGTCATTATAAACAGTACAATAAACTACAGTATTGAATCACACTTGCAAAAATTGTCAAGTGCATCTTCATCTTCGTACTTCTTGCTCAAACTCTTTAATGTTGCATTGTCTACGATAAAATTGTTCAACAAACCCTGCATGTTTTAAACCAAAAAATATCCCAACTTGTTATATATAGGTCCAAGATTTTAATCGACTTACTATCGAAGTAGCTAGTGTCTTCTTCGTCATCTAACTGTGGGATAAACTCAGCTTTTTGTCTCAATAAAGCATCCCAGTCCAGTTCAACAAAATAAACATGAATTTTGATCTCATGGTCACCTAAAATATACACACAATATGAATACCAATTTGATTTAATTCCCTAATTAACTGCTTAAATCTTGGTGTACATGCACTGAAACTAAAGACATGTAGGTAGTTCAATTTAGGACTAGACATACAATGTATGATACTATTTCTGCAATACTGCGTGAATTTGTTTGATTGCAAAAGAAAGAATAGTTTGAACTTGAGGCTGAGAATGTGATCATATTCAAGTCATCGTTAATAATTAGCATCCTCGAACTTGCACGACTATCTCAAGTGCACTGCAGTAAATTCGATCACTAAACAGCAGCGGTACTTAGGAGATACAACCACTGTGCCTGAAAAATACAAACTTTATGACTGAAGCCGTGTTTTGTATATCATACAAGCCTGGGCTTGGCCTGGTTTTCGCTTCACTGATTGGAGTGATTGGCTGACAATAGTTTTATCAGCCAATCAGCTCAACGCAAATTAGACCAAAGTGAGGCCTATGCTTGTGATCATGGCTTAAGATTATGCTAACCTAAACGTCTCCCAGGTTCTTCATCAAGTAGACGGAGTATCAGTTGCTTTGCGTCTTCAGCCACCTCCTCGTCTGAAGGCCATTCAATATCACCTAGTATTGGAGGGACAGGTTCTTGTGAAAAATTCTAGTACAAAGAGCTGTTTGGTACATTGTATTACGTATACACTATTGGGAAAATCCTTGGCTATATAAAAGGCCTCGTTGTTGTGACTGAGATCTTTACCATGTTTCAACTATAGATTTTAAAGTTTGTTCGTTCACTGCAACCAGGTATACCAACCATGTTTCACTCGCTACTCTGGTTTAAATAAATGATTACAAAGCCCAGTCGAATTGTAATCAAGACCCAACGTTTCGACACTCCAGTTTAGTGTCTTCATCAGGGGTTATCTAAAGTTGCAATCGTGGCTTCTTAAAATACCCAAGGGATGACGTCACCTGCCAATGAGATGCATGTATTCCTCTGGCAAATAGGCACCGTCATCCCTATTCAAACACACCGTCATCCCTTTGAATAGGGATGACGGTGCCTATTTGCCAGAGGAATACCGGGTGGCCCAAAAAAAAGTACTCCTGTTTGATTCGTAATAACTTCTAAACAAGTAAAGTTTTTAAAGAGAAATAACTTGCATTAAATAGAGGAAGGACTAACTTAGATTTTGATATATTACAGTTGTATTAAACTTAAAAATTCACGGATATATTAATGTTAAAAATGGGGAGCATATTTTGGAATGTGTCTAAAATTAGCGAAAATCGGCATATCAAATATTAACTCCAGCGTTTGTTTGCTTAATGACATATTAGGCTAACTTGTATTTCAGCGAATTATCGTTAAGGTTTGTAAGGGATATGGCGTAGATTTAGACATCTTACATGTAAGTCTTGGCTCATTGTTTCCTGAAATATGAACGTTCGAAATTATGCAAGTATTTAATATTAGGTCTTTGCAAACTTAAATGTACATGAAAGACTGACCATGGAAGGCAGGCGCTTAAATTTTTCGTATTCTTAAATAGCCTAATTTTTTTATGTTTTTAATGGGTTCAAACAGACTGAGTAGATTATTTCTCGGTTAGAGCGGGATGAATATTCTTTATTGAAGGAAATAATATTGCTTTTTGCAAATACACATCACCGTATCAACGCTACTATTTTGTTACGTTTTGTTCCAAAAATGTTGCATGTCTCTGGGGAGTTGCTTAATTGTTATGTCTTGTGGAGTTGTATGGTTTGATTGTGTTTCATATAATTCTCAGTTTACTCCATGAACTTGCCAAGATTGAGAAACGGCAAAAGAGTTTGGGTGTTCTTAACAAGATTTCAGAACGTTGCAGAAGTTAGAAGAGC